TCCACGTCTTGCACCTCCTGGGAGGCCTTCGTCGCAACCGCTGGATTCGCGTCGAAATTCTGGTCAGAACGCACTCTGGGAGTGGTCCAGGGAGTAGCGATATCGGTACCTTTTGGACTTCCCAGCTGCACACCCGACCTGGGGAATGGCGGTTAAGCGGCCTGGGCATCGTTCCGGGCACTGGTCTTCTCGTGGCTGTCTCTCAGCGACGTGGGGACCAGAGAGGAGCCCCGTCGCGAAGCCCAGGCCAAGCATGGCCCCGGCATCGCCTACTCCCACCGCCCGTTCTGGCAGGTATCGAGGGATCATCGTGCACCAGATGCACGACGTTGGCCCTGAGCATGCCGTCGATCATGGACGAGCATTGGCACAAGAAGCCTAGACGCCAGGCGACGGCCGCATCGCGTTTTTCCTGGGCAGGATGGGTTAGTGTCGGAAGCCTGTGTGGGGCATGTGCGCTCACTATGGCGAGCGCTGCAACCTTCACGCCTTTGGACTAGGTGCCTGCCCCAGGAGAGCCATGGGTGCATCGGCCTCAAGCGGAAGCAGATGCTCGAAGTATTCGAGGCCCAGCAGCGGCGTAAAGAGGTATATCTCAAGGCAACCGAATCCAGACTCTGTGGAGGTCCAACCGCTGCTGCCGCGCGACTGCGCCAGGGGGGAAGCCAGGTGCCACCCCGAGGAGCAGCCAGGGGGGGTGAGCAGGAGGTTGAGGAGCAGGAGGCGGTGGTGGTGGTGGAGGAGGAGGAGGAGGCGGAGGAGGAGGAGGAGGAGGAGGAGGAGGAGGAGGAGGAGGAGGAGGAGGAGGAGGAGGAGGAGGATGGAGCGAGGAGGCGTACTAGGATGACAAAGAGGCAGAGGATCAGCACGAGCAGTGCGAGGAGAAGGGATAGTAGGAGGAGCAGGCGAGGAGGAGGAAGGAGGAGGAGGAGGAGGAGGAGGAGGAGGAGGAGGACGAGGAGGAGGAGGAAGAGGAAGAGAAGCAGGAGGAGGAGGAGGAGGAGGAGGAGGAGGAGGAGGAGGAGGAGGAGAGGAGGAGGAGGAGGAGGAGGAGGATGAAGAGGAGGAGGAGAAGGAGGAGGAGGAGGAGGAGGAGGAGGAGGAGGAGGAGCAGGAGCACGGAGAGCTCACAGGAGGCACGGGGTCAATGTGCCCATGGGAAGCGACCCCAGGCAGGCTGAGGAGGGCGGGTCGAGGTGGGGCGCTTTTCTCCGCGCCCTCGCCGCCGCCGCCCTTGCCCTCGCTCCGTGGGCCGCCTGCCCTGGCAGGGTGGCCTCGCCCCGCGAGATGCCGAAGCGTTTGAGCCCCTTCCTCGCGGCCATCCGCCTGGCAGCCGAGGGGTCCTGGACCAGGGGCGGAAAGGGGGCCAGAGGGACCCCGGGCAGTTCCTGGCGGACGTGGGTCGGCGGAGGGCCAGGGCGACAGATCGAAGACGAAAAAACAAACGGCATGAAAATAAACTTTCGACGCTCCGCGCGGATTTCTTGGATCTGCGCTGGCCAGCCCCTGGCGGCGCCTCCGGCGCCGCCCCTGGCGCGCTCCGCGCCAGGGAGGGGAGTCCAGCGCAGATCCAAGACTTCCGCGCGGACCGTCGAAAGTTTCTGCAAAAGCTTTTTTTTCCCTTCCTTTGACAGAGAGTCCTATCATTGACGAGTGAACAGCACACACACACACACTCACCCATACCCTTGGGGGGTCGGAGGGGGCTATGGGTGCGTGCTGTCGGGTGGGGGTCCCGGCTCGAAGGGGAGCCTCCCCAGGGTCCGGCAACCCGCACCCGTACGCACAGCCAGTCCCCCTCCCTCCGACACCTCTGTGGGTATGGGTGTGTGTGTGTGTGTGTGTGTGTTGTTCCTTCGTGAATCGTCTCCGTAATCTGGAAACTGGCCCTGGCAGAAGCGCGACACTGAAATGCACACACGGCCTGTGTGTACCCTCCCTGGCGGGGGTCTCATGGCTGCCTCTTGCATGGGCCCCCCACGACGTTCACAGCGATCGGGGGTGGACAGAACCCCCAACAGTGACACGTCGATTAGTGAATTGTCCGTTTTCGGTTCTCGAGAAGGCGCCGTGGCCGTTATTTTCCAGGCTTGCGCCCGCCAGGTTTGGGCCTGAGGTCGTTTTCACTAAACCACGTTTTACTAAAGGGGGGTCTGTCCATCCCCGAAGCGAGCTCGTGTCCGCGGTTTCGGGGCCGCTGGGCCCACCATGTCGGCAGACATGAAGCCGTGGCCCCTGTAGCGCCAGGGCTCCCCGGGGCTCCCGACGGGGGCCCTTCCCCCGCTCCCCGCAGAGCCAGCCTCGGGCCGCGGATGCCCTGGAGCCGCGGAGAGCCACTCCGAGCGCTGGAGGAGGAGGAGGCGGAGGCGGAGGCGGAGGAGGAGGAGGAGGAGGAGGAGGAGGAGGAGGAGGAGGAGGAGGAGGAGGAGGAGGAGGAGGAGGAGGAGGAGGAGGAGGAGGAGGAAGCGGAGGAGGAGGCGGAGGCGGAGGCGGATGAGGAGGAGGAGGCGGAGGAGGAGGAGGAGGAGGAGGTTGTTGGGGACGGGCCTGAAGCCGAAAATCCAAGATCAGACCGGATCGGACGCGTCCGAATCGGTCTCCTCCTCGAGAGGGGCCCTTGGGCGCGCGGAGGCCACGCCACGGTCTCTGACCCAAGCGAGGTCGGCTTCCACGAGCCCAAAGGAATCCAGAACCTGCTCCCTGCAGGCGTACCCGCCCTGGGAGTCGAATTTACCTGAAAGGCTACCCCGCGGGGCCCCAGGACCACCCGACAACACCGAAGCCGCCAGGGCCCGCCGCTCAGCGAGGGTGAGGCCCACATGGGGCCCAAGTAGCAGCCCCTTCAGGTCATGCTTATACGAGGGAAACTTCGACTGACGAATTCTCCTCAACTGATCACTGAGCCCTCCCGTGGCACCCGTCTTGGGTCTACATGGGCCGAGCAATCCTTTCGAGGGGTTCCCCCCGAGCAAACACTACCGCACTTGACACAGAACTGAAGCCTCCCCTTGGTGTTCCCTACAGCATCCAAAACTCCAGCCCTAAGCAGGGCGTGGCCGTTGACACGGAACACCAGGAGGGCAAACGAGTCCCAATCCCCCAAGTCCTCCCCCTCCTCCGAGGGCCGCCCGTCCTCAGCCATTGTCTGGCTGGAGAGGTCGGCTTCAGCAGCAGCGGCGGCAGGCGCTGGGGGCGGAGAGGCCACGGCTGAGGCCTCCAGGCCAGTCGTGTCCCTCCCTGGCAGAGACGAGAGGGCCACCTCTAGACAAGCCGCCCATCTCCCAGCTTCCATGGCCAGGTTCCGAAGGCCTCGCCACAAATACATCTCTTCCTCCGTCCGCCCATGCAGATCGACGCCAGCCTTGGCGAAGGTGTCAGCATGCTGATTCGCACGCTGCTCCCACACCGTGGTGACTCCAGACTGGACATCAGAGGCCGTCGCTTGGGCCTTGGTCTTAAAAGCTTCAAAGTCCCCTTGGCCGAACGCGGACCAAAACGGGCCCCAGAGATGACCCCTCGGCGCCCCAGGACCAACAGAACTCCCAGGACCGTTGGCCAAGGAATCCAAAGTTGACTGACAGTCTATATACAACTGAAACGGGGGAGACCAAACTGCGTCAGCATATGTACAGCGTAGTCCTCCCCATCCTTACTGGTCTGCTGAGGAGCGGCACTCACAGGTACAAGTCCATATACAGCTGAAATCAGATTTCCAAACCGATCAACGCTGCATATCGCCCAGGAGGAGGAGGAGGAGGAGGAGGAGGAGGAGGAGGAGGAGGAGGAGGGGGAGAATGAGGAGGAGGAGGGGGCGGAGGAGGAGGAGGGAGCAGGAGGAGGAGGAGGAGGACCAGTGGAAACCCAAGGTGCATCAGCAATGCTGCAGTAAGCCCTCCCTCCGAGGTCCCCACAGCAATTCGTTCTCACTGTGGGGAGTGCGTCGTTGGAAGTCAACCCTCCGAGAATCCTCAGTCCTCACAAAACACTTTTCCTGGGACTTCAACGCCAATCATCAAAGTTACTGTTGAATTCTGACGATCCTGAATCGTGCAGAACACTATTCCTAGGACTTCAACACCGCAATTCAACGTGACTGTTGCGCCCTCACAATCCTACTTCGTGCCGGACGTCAGCCATAAGAACATTTGAGACTGTTGTGAACTTTTGAGCCGAGTGTGCTCGGCGATAATGCGAGAGCCACATCTTGAAAACGATCCGCCCTCCATCCGTGAAGCTCTTGCGTTTTATGACGAGTCTGCGCGGCGCCAAGGCGAGAGCCGCATTTTGAAAACGACGCGCCCTCCATCCGTGAAGCTGTTGCAAATTTCAAGCTTTAGGGTCATATGTGGTAAGGAAGCCTCAGGCAAAACGCCCGACCCGCCCTACCAAACGTGTTGGGGTGCGACAGGGAGGAGTGTTTCATAAGGAGAAGGACGGAGGAGGAGGAGGAGGAGGAGGAGGAGGAGGAGGAGGAGGAGGAGGAGGAGGAGGAGGAGGAGGAGGAGGAGGAGGAGGAGGAGGAGGAGGAGGAGGAGGAGGAGGAGGACGAGGAGGACGAGGATGACGACAAGGCGAATGAGGAGGAGGAGGAGGAGGAGGATAATGCGGCAGAGGACGAGCAGTATCGAGAGGGAGCTTCCCATGACGCTCCTCCCGATGCCGCGTAATAGGGGAAGTCCCGCAAGCTCTTCACCGCGGCTGGTGGCTCAAGGCCCTCTTACAAAACTCCACTCCTTGCGCCCACCAGTCCTTGCAATCCCCAGGGCCATCCCCCTCCCCCAGTGTCCCAACACTGGCCCCGCAAACCAGGTCTCCTCTCGTCGTCCTCTTCCTTCTCCCGCTTCTTGCTTAGGCAGGATGAGGGAGGGAGGCGCAGAGCCAGCGGCGTTCGCTCCACCCCTTTCTCGTCGTTGCTGTCGTGTCGTCGTCGTCGTCGTCGGCGTCGTCGTCGTCGTCGTCGTCGTCGTCGTCGTTCTCTTCTGTAACCATCCTGGCCCAACAGCCGTGAGCGGATTGACATTGCTCTTCCCCGCCGCTCCCGCTGCCTCCGTTGCCCACGTTCCTCCGCGACCGGCAGCAGAGAGAGAGAGAGAGAGCAATGGACGCCAACATGACCTCGCAGACGAACTCGGAGCGAGAACAGCGGTTGCGGGAGCTGATCTCTGAGTTTCGCACCGCTGCCACCGACGGCATCCGCGTCGAGCTCGTGGACAAGGAGTCGCAGCTCGTGTGCCAGGGCATCTTTAAGCTGGACTCGGCCCAGATGACTATGAGCCTCCAGCCCGCGTTCCTGCCGGAGACGAGCTGGAGCATGCGCGAAATCGGCGCCGTGATGAAGGGCAAAGAGTTTGCAAGGTGCGTCCCCGAGCTGGCCCACCTCTCCGCGAAGTGTATCGGTATCGATTCGCACCGCTTTGCGGGGGACACGGCAGGACGATCGTTCCGTCCGCTCGTGGGCCGTCCTTGGGGGTCTCTCGGACCCATTTTTGGGCCGTCTTGCGGCCCTCTTGCGCCATCTCGGCCCCCTGTGGGCCGTCCTGGAGATCTCTTTGGGCGAGCTCCCCAGGAGGCCCTCTTGTGACTCTCTTGGGCCGTCTGGGGCCCCTCTTGGGCCTTTGCTGGGCTTTCTTGGAGTTATCTTGGAGGCGTCTTGGGACTCCCTGGCCCCCTCAGCGCATCTGGGCGCTGTCCTGAGCCCTCCGCAGCCGAATGAGAGCCATCTTCGGACGCCCTGGTCTCTCTAAGGCCATCTTGAGGGCATGCTGGCCCTTCCTGAGGCCCTCGTAGGCCGCAGGGTACAGCGCGACGCATCGGGGTCGACGGATTTGGCGTGGCCCTGGATGGGGGTGATGGGACAGAGAAATACAGGGCATATTGCAGGATTTTGCGCACACATTGCACGTTCCAGGATCAAACTTTGCTCCAGAGTTGCGTTACCTGGCGACGGACGCAGTCTAGCTATGGTTCCTGTGAGTTACGCCACACCCGCCGACTCCTTTATGGGCGTCCTGAGGCTTTCTTGAGGCCCTCTTGGGCTATCCCGGGGCCTCCCTTCGAGCCCTCATGGAGCGTCTTGAGCGTCGGCGGGCACTCTGAGGGCAGTCTTGGGTCGTATCGGCTTCCTTTTTTGGCCATGTTTAGCTATCTTGGCGGTCTGGGCCTCGTCTGGAGCCGTCTTTGGGCAGTTTTTGGGCCAGTTGGGGCCATTTTGTGTCTCGGGGCCAATTTGATGAGCACCTTGGAGGCCAGCTGGGCTGAAATGCTTGGGACGCGAACAACAAGTTGAGTCATTTAAGCTAGTTTTGGACATTTTGAAAAGCTGCGGATTTTTGGGCCTTTCTTGGGCTTCTATATTGCCTTTGTTGGATGGTCTCGGATGGACTATTTGAGAGGTCTGAGCCTCCCTACAGAAGCCTAGATCCCCCTGGGTGAACCAGAGGTTTGCGGATTTTGACACTGAGACGCAGATCAGATGCCTTCACTTCGACGACAAAAAGGTTCGGGACGATTTCTACGCCTGCCTGAAGATCCTGCGCACGTGTGCCGGGAGTGTCCATTCTGGTACTGTGGCTGGGGGTTGAGGAAGCCACCGGGGCAGCCTGCAGGGGGACGCACACCGACATACGCACATCAATATCTTTGGCGCGGCATTTTAGCACTGCTCAGTGTCGTAGTGCAAGCGTCGCAACGGGTAGCAAGAGACATTAGCAGTGGAAAGTTCAGCAGGAGGAGGAGGAGGAGCATGGGGAGGGTCATGATGATGCTGCTGATGATGATGCTGATGATGTTGATGATGATGCTGGTGATGATGATGCTGATGCTGATGCTGATGCTGATGATGCTGATGCTGATGATGATGATGATGATGATGATGATGATGATGATGATGATGATGATGCTGATGCTGATGATGATGATGATGATGATGATGATGATGATGATGATTATGATGATGATGCTGATGCTGATGATGCTGCTGATGATGAGGAGGAGGACCATGGTAAACCCAAGAGTCCTCAACGATGTTGGAATAAACCCTCCTTCCAAACGCCCTCTTCATAGGCTCCTACAACGGTTCATCTTCACTGAGGAACTGCCTCGTCGGAAGACAACCGTTTGAAGATTCTGAAGCATGCCCTAGCATTGTTCTCGGGATTCCAACGCTACGGATCAACCTGGCTGTTCCGTCTTGACGAGCCTGAATCGTGCCAAAACGCCGTTCCCGATATTGCCGCACCGCGAATCCACGTGACTGTTTCACCCGCAAAGCTTTGAATCTTTTCAACACAGAATTTCTGGTACGTTGTCCATGGTAGTCCGTGAAACTTTTGTAAATTTTGTAAACGGACGTGCGCGAACCGCCCTCAATCCGTGAAGCTCTTGCGAACTTGTAAAACGAACGCATGCGGCGCTAAGGCGAGAGCCACAATTTGAAAACCACCCGCCCTCAACCCGTGAAGCTCTTGCAACTATTTGAAAACGAATGTGCGCGGCGCTAAGGCGAGTGCCACATTTTGAAGAGGAAGCGCCCTCAATCCGTGAAACTCTTGCAATATCTAAAATCGAATGTGCGCGGCGCTTAAACGAGAGCCGCATGTTGAAAACCACCCGCCCTCAATCCGTGAAACTGTTGCCAATATTCAAGCTTCAGGGTCATAATTTGTGAGGAAGTCTGAGCGAAACGCCTTGGTCCGCCCTGATTATCATGGCGAAGGACCCAACCATTCGCAAGTGTGAGAACCGCAGGGCAGGTGGGACGAAGCAAGGGGAACTCCCAACGGGGGGACGAACCGTGTGAGGGGTGCGCCAAAATGAGACGGGGCCGCCATGCGAACCCTGCCACTCGGGCCTTCGGTGGAGTCCCCTATGGGGCCACGATCCGTGTGAGAGGTGCGCCAAAATGGGGCGGGGTCGCCATGCGAACCCTGCCACTGGTGCCTTCGGTGGACCTCCCTATGGGGCCGCGATCCGTGTGAGGGGTGCGCCAAAATGAGGCGGGGCCGCCATGCGAGCCCTGCCGCTGGGGCCTTCAGTGGAGCTCCCTATGGGGCGGGCCACGATCCGTTTGAGGGGTGCGCCAAAATGGGGCCGGGCCGCCATGCGAACCCTGCCGCTGGGGCTATCGGTGGAGCTCCCTATGGGACCACGATCTGTGTGAGTACGCCAAAATGAGACGGGGCCGCCATGCGAACCCTGCCACTGGGGCCTTCGGTGGAGCTCCCTATGGGGCCACGAACTGTGTGAGGGGTGCGCCAAAATGGGGCGGGGCCGCCATACGAACCCTGCCGCTGGGGCCTTCGGTGGAGCTCCCCATGGGGCCACGAACTGTGTGAGGGGTGTGCCAAAATGGGGCGGGGCCGCCATGCGAGCCCTGCCACTGGGGCCTTCGGTGGAGCTCGCTATGGGGCCACGAAGCGTTGTACTGGGAGGGAGAAACGCAGGGAGGAAGGAGGAGGGAGAGGGAGGATGGAGGAAGGAAGGAGGGAACGCGGGGACCATCTCTTCAAAACGACGACCCAACACCACAGGATGGTTGGGAAAAACTGGCTTCGGGGTGCGACAGGGAGAGGTTCTCTATAAGGACAAGGAAGGGAGGAGAAGGAGAAGGAGAAGGAGGAGGAGGAGGAAGAGGAGGAGGAGGAGGAGGAGGAGGAGGAGGAAAGCCATACGGCCGAGGAGGGGCGGGACCGTCGTCGCCCGTCGGTCGCCCCGTCGGTCGACCGCCAGTCGCCACACCACCTCGTCTACTCGCCCCCCCCGCGAGCGCGGCTCCCTGCCGCGCCACGCGCCAGTGGGCCGGTGGCGGGCTCCCTCCATGTCACCCACCCGCCTCCGCGCCCGCCCCGCGGGCGGCCCCTCCCTGGTGGCCCCCCTTGCCTCGTGCCCAACACCGGCCGGCGCGCGCCCTGCTGGGGCTGACGGCACGCCCCCGGCCCCCCGGACGCCCCCCGCTCCCTGGGCCTCCTGTGGCCCTCCGCCCCCTGGAGTCGGGCCGCCCCCCCCACGCCCTGGCCCCAGGCGGCAGCTCCGGGGTCCCTGGCGCTCCTCCCTCGTCTCCTGCTGGGAGGCCGCCGGGGCGCCCGCTGCGTGTCATCGCCGCGTCGGGCCTCCACGGCGCGTGCCCGGCCGCCCTGCGCCCTCGGCGCGCTCGGGCCTCCTCTGTGTCGTTCCGCAGCCAGCAGGGGCCTCTCTCTCGGGTCCTCGTCTGCTCTGCGCGGCTTCACCGTCTTGGCTCCACCCCAGCGTGAGAGGCCTCAGGGACCCCCCCCCCGGGCCCGAAACGCTGACCCCTGGGCCCCCCCCCCCCGGGGGCATCCATTCCGGCGGCCCGCCGCCAGGTCTTGCCACTCACACAGCTCGCCACCGTTAGTCGCTGTCGTCGCCACTGTTATTTGCGCTGCGCGTTCTCTTTACCTAGAGCTGCGACCGTTAGTCGCCTTCCGCTCCCTCGCCTCCCCTTGCTCCGTGGGCGTCCCCCCCGGTGGCCGTCCTGGCTTCGTGCCCAATGCCGCCTGGCGCGCGCCCAGCAGGGGTCGGCGGCCCGCCCCCGGTCCCCCAGGTCGCCCGTGCTCTGGGCTTCTTGTGACCCTGCGCCCCCTGGCGCCGGGTCGCCCCCCTGCACCCGCCTTAGGCGGCCGCGCTGGGGTCCCTAGGCCCTCCCCCGCCATCCCCTGCCGCGTGACCGCCGGGGCGTCAGTGGGGTGTCACCGCTGGGCCTGTTTCCACGGCGCCGGCGCCCAGCCGCCTTGCTCCGCTCTAGGCGTTGCTTGGTCCTCTTCCTGCCCTGCCCCAGCGTGCTAGGCCGCAGGGAAGCCCCCTCGGCCCGTCGCGCTGGGCTGCGGGCCTCCCCCCGGAGGGCATTCCTCCCGGTGGACCTCCGTCTGTTCCGGCCGCTCGCCCCGACAGCGGCCGGCCTTCGCTCCTCGTCGCCACCGGTACTTCGTATCGCGTGTTCTCTCTACCAGATCTGCGACCGTTAGTCGCCTTCGCGCTTCCTCCATCCCCCCTGACCCCGCGCGCGAGGCCGCAGGGAAACCCCATCGGCCCAGGGCGCTGGTCTGGTGGCATCCCCCTCCGTGAGGGTCCTCTCGGCCCGTCCTGGCGGCCCGCGCCACGCGTCTCGCTGGCCGCCCGTCTCCTTTCCCTGCACGGGGTCGACGGACACCTGGTCCTCCCCCATCGCGCTGCTCATCTGATGCAGTCTGAGCTGTGCCTCCTGCCACCTGGGCGGCGCGTGCGGCTCGCACCCGCCCTTTCGGCTCTCCGCTTCCCGTCGCCCTCCGCCGGCCCTCTGCCCGTTCCTCCCGCCTCTTGCAGCGTGGTCCGGTCGGGATTCTCCAAGCTGCCCCCTCGACACCTTCGGAGTCTGGCGATCCGGAACGCTTCCGTTGAGCGCCTGCATGCCCCGCCTTTCTTCTGTGACGGTGGTTCGCTGTCAAGTTTCCGCATCCCTCGTCTTCACCTGGGCCTGCTGTTCGTTTTGCCAGCGGTCTTCCTCGTCAGGGACGTTATGGGCTACCCGAATAACCACCTGGTGCTGCACGTCGCCTGGATGTAGCTCCTGGCGTGCGCCTCCTGAGCGGCAGCGAGGCTCGCCTCCTGTTTGTCTCTTCCCCTGCTTGTTCTTGTCCTCTTTCGCCCTTCTTCCTCCTTTGCGCTAGTTGAGGCCGTTGCTTGTCTGCAGTGCGCTGACGCCGTCCGACCTGTTCCTCGCCGCGGTCGCGATCAAAAAAGTACCCCCGCCAGCCCTTTCAGAAGCCCTGCCCATGAGGGCTGACAGGAAAAGAGATGAAGAGACACGTGTGAAATTAGTCGGGCGAAGGACCCAACCATACGCAGTTCAAAACATTTATGTTGTGTACGCAGAATTCGGAGGAGATCCCTATAGGGCCACGATGCGTGTGAGAGGTGTGCCAAACTTTGTCTGGTGGGCGCATGCGAAAGCAGCCGCTGGGGCCGTTGGTAGAGTTCCCTATGGGACCACGAAACGCGTGGGAGGTGTGCCGAAATGGGTGTGCGTGACGCATGCGTGCGGTGGCACTGGGGCCCTTGGTGGAGCTCCCTATGGGGCCACGAAGCGTGTGAGGGGTGTGCCGAAATTGGTGTGCGTGACGCATGTGGGCGGTGGCGCTGGGGCCTTCGGTGAAGTTCCCTATGGGGCCACGAAGCGTGTGAGGGGTGTGCCAAAATGAGTGTGCGTGACGCATGCGGGCGGTGGCACTGGGGCCTTCGGTAGAGCTCCCTATGGGGCCACGAAGCGCTGTACTGGCTGGGTGGAACGCAGTGAGGATGGTGGAGGGAGGGGGGGAGGAGGAAGGACGCGGGAGGAGGAGGAGGAGGATGAGGAGGAGGAGGAGGAGGAGGAGGAGGAGGAGGAGGAGGAGGAGGAGACCCAACACAACATAATGGTTGGGAAAAAAGCGAGCAACCAGGATGAGCAGAGAGATCTCTGGGAACAAAGGGGGGTCTTTGGAGGGCCTCTTCGGGCCATCCATGGGGCTGGCGGGGGGTCGAGGGGAGGAGGAGGAGGAGGAGGAGGAGGAGGACGAGGAGGAGGAGGAGGAGGAGGAGGAAGAGGAGGAGGAGGAGGAGGAGGAGGAGGAGGAGGAAGGAGGAGGAGGAGGAGGAGGAGGAATCATAATGATAATAATAATAAGAATAATACGAATAATAATAAGAAGACTATGAATAATAACAATCATAATGTTAGACATAATTCCAATAATAATAAGACGAAGAAGAATACTACTAAAAAGAAGAAGAATAATACAAAGACGAAGGCTAATAATAAGACGAATAAGACGAATCAGAATAATACTAATAATAAGAATAATAATGCTACGAATGATAAGAATAATAATAACAATAAGAAGAATAATAATAATAATAAGAATGATAAGACTAATAAGAATAGTAGCAATCATAATAAGAATAAAAAGACGAATCATAATACTAATAATAATATTCAGCATAATAATAATATAATAAGAATACTAATAATACTAATAATACTAATAATACTAATACTAATAATACTAATAGTAGTAATACTTATCATAATAATAATATTATTATCAGTGATACTAATAATAAGAGTAATAATAATACTACTAATAATAATAATCACTACTAATTCTAATAACAACAATAATACTACTACTAATAATAATTATATTAATAATGATGATACTACTAATAATATTAGTAATACTAATAATGATAATACTAATAAGAATAAGAATGAGCAGAATAAGCATATGAATAATAATAATAAGAATAACACTAACAATAAGAAACACAATAATAGTAATACTAAGAAGAATAAGGATACTGCTACGAGTAATAATAATACTAATGATAATAATAATAGTAATAATAATATTAATAACAATAATAATACTAATCGTAATAATGATAATAAAAATAATAATATTAATAATAATTCTACTAATCATAATACTAACAACAATAATAGTAACAATAATATTATTATTAATAATAATAGTAGTAGTAATAATAATAACACTAATAATAATATAACAATAATAATAATATAATAATAATATTACTAATGATAATAACACTAATAATAATAATATTAATACTACTAATAATAATAAGAATAAGAATAATAATAATAATAATAATAATAGTAATAATAATAATAATAAGACACATAATAATAATAATAATAATAATAATAATAATAATAATAATAAGGAGAGGAGAGGAGGAGGAGGAGGAGGAGGAATGAGGAGGAGAGGAGTAGGAGGAGTAGGAGAGAGGACGTGGCAGGAGAGGAGGAGGAGGAGGGAGGAGGAGGAGAGAGGAGACGAGAGGAGAGGCGAGGCGGAGGCTGGAGGCGGAGGCGGAGGAGGAGAGGCAGGATGATGAGGAGGATGGAGGAGGAGGAGGAGAGCAGGAGGAGGAGGAGGAGGAGGAGGAGGAGGAGGAGGAGGAGGAGGATGCAAGTCGTCACTTAGGGCCTTCGTGGCGCTCTTGGGGCGCACTTGTGCGCTCTTGGGGTCGTCTTGGGATCCTCTTGGGGCCCTTTTGGCAGCCCCAGAGAGCCTCTTGAGGCCATCTTGGAGGCTATCGATCAAAGGAGGGGGGTCCCCGATTTGCCTCCCCCCCTGGGGCCATCAAAATCGCCTCTCGGGGCGCTCTTGGGCTGATCTCGGTTGCTCTTGGAGCCGTTTTGGGGGCCTCTTGGCGACCTCTTGGGGATCTCTTGGGCCATCTTGGGGCAGTCTTGAGGCCTCAGCGCATCGGAAGCGGCAAGGCGAGCAGGCAACACTCATTAATTTCCCTTCTGTTTTAGAGAGGATTTTGGCCTCTTCGGGTGTCCCGAGGGGGCTCAATGAGCCTGGGAACCGTTTCGTGGCCCTCGTCGGGCCTTTTGGAGATCTGCCCGAAGCTACCTTGAACCATCTTCGGCTATTTTGAGCCGCCTTGGAGGCCATCTAGGAGCATCGGAGGCCGTCTTGGAACCATCTTGGGCGAACAAGGGCCCTCTGACACATCGCGACCCCCGCCGAAAGACCTCAGGGAGGGGAGGGGAAGGGTCCCCCCCCCCCCGAAGGGAAGAGGGTTTTGGAAGAGGAACGGAAGATCTCGTCATGCTCAAATGGCTGGTGGGATCACGCTCGCCTACCACACAGCCAACTCTGGCCAATCTTTCAGGCAAGGAGATGCGCGCCAGAAGCCAGCTGGCACGCTCGGACTGAACTTGCTGGAAGCAGCACTGGCAGCGGGATGATCGCCGCACGCGAGCTGGCACGCTTGAAATTTGCTTGGCAGTGCGACGAGCTCTACCATGTGAGCAGGCACGCTTGGAGTGAGCTTACTGCTGGTGATTCGATGCGCCATTTCTGCGAGCTGTCACGCTTGGCGTGCGCGTCGTGGCCGCAATGCTGGCAGCGTGAAGTGCACTGGAAACAGACCGACACGTTCACGAAGCTCACGAGGGGGGGCACTGGAATGACACTGGAGGGGAGGGGACGGGCCCTGCAGCGGGACGCTGATGAAAAGAAGCATGCTCGCATTGAAGTGCGTGCTGGAAGCGAGGCCGCACGTTCGGACCGATCTTCCTTGTATCCTGGCAGAACCGCTGGCAATAGGAGGATCTTCGGACGCAATCCGGCACGCTTGGAAAGAACTCCTTGGCAACACCTTCGCAGGCATCGCTTGCGCAGCGAAGTGCGCCGTGCGGGAGCTGGCATGTTCGAACAGCACCGCATTTTGCGCTGCACGGTTTCAGGATCGGAGGGAAGCGGTGCTCTGGCCTCGCTGGGAACGCAGTAAGGAGACAAACCTTCTGCAGGCCCACTGTAACCTGGCCCCCCCTCACTTTCACTTGAGCTTGAAGTTCCCCTTGGCGCGGGTCGCGAGGAAGCTTCGCTCCGTTTTTACATTTTTAAAGTTCAGCCTTCTCATCGTCCCCCCGCTCCTCCTCCTCGTCCTCTTCGTCTTCCATCTTCTCCTCCTTCTCCTCCTCCTTCTCCTCCTCCTCCTCCTCCTCCAGCGCCGATCCAAGGAATCCGCGCGGACCTCCGACATTTCATGTCTATGCCAGTGTCTGTTGTTCTCCATCACAGGGCGAGGGATGAGTGGAAAGGCAGGGCGAGGGGAGGATGGGAAGGCGACAGCCACTCTGCGCACAAAGCCGGGCTTGAGCACCCCAAAGGGGGCTCGTGGTAAAGGCTGGTGGAAGACGCGTCCGTCGGCCAAGTTTTCCTGTAATGCGGGAGCCGTGAACTGTTTCTAATGGCTTTCATCCGATCGGAAACTGGAGGACTGTTTTAAGGCCAGGACTTTGTGAGGGTCGGGGGCGACGTCGGGGTGGTGTGGTGTATAATATGTATGTGCATGTTTGTATGCATGTATGTATGTATGGATGTATGCAGGTATGTATGTATGTATGTATGTATGCATGCATGCATGCATGCATGCATGCATGTATGTGTATGTCTGTATGTATGTATGCATGCATGCATGCATGCATGTACGTATGTATGTATGTATGTATGTATGTATGTACGTATGCATGCACGTATGTAGGTATGTATGTATGTATGCATGCACGCATAGCGTGTAGTATGTATGCATTTATGCAATGTAATGTATGTATGCATGTGATGCATGTCTAGCATGTATGCATGATGCATGCATGCATGCATGCATGGTATTTATGTAGGTATGTAATGTTATTTATGTTATGTATGTGATGTTGTATGTGCGTGATGCAGGCATGTAATGGCATGCAATGTTCTGATGCATGCATGCATGCAGCAGTATGTATTTATGTCTGTATTGTTAATGCTGCATGCATGCATGCATGCATGTATGCCATGCATGTATGTATGTGTGTATGTATGTATGTATGTATGTTGTACTGCGCCATGCGGTATGTATGCATGTATGTATGTATGTATGTATGTAGTATGTATGTATGTATGTATGCATGCATGACATGCATGCTGCATGCATGCATGTATGCATGCAATGTACGTATGTATATGTATCTAGTAGGTATGTATGTATGTATGTGTGTATTATGTATGTATGTATGTATGTATGTATGTATGTATGTATGTATGTATGTATGTATGTATGTATGTATGTATGTATGTATGTATGTATGTATGTATGTATGTATGTATGTGTATGCATACATGCATGCATGCATGCATATATGCTTGTATGCATGTATGCAGGTATACATGTATGTCAGTCTGTCTGCCTGCCTGCCTGTCTGTCTGTCTGTTTTCTGTATGTATGCATGTATTCATGCATGTATGTCTGTGTGTATGTTTATATGTATGAATGCATGCATGTATGTGTATATGTCTATGTCTATGCATCTAGTTATAAACATTGATAGATTTTCCGCTTCCTGGGGGAACAGCGACACATGTATACACCAGGATCCAGTAGACACCAGGATCCGCTTTCCCCTGCAGCTTACCGTGGAGGGCCACACGAAGCGTCGGGTTGCATTTCCGGGGGACCTCGCCCGTCCCTCAAATTTGTATCTTTTCTTGTGCCCGACGCGGGCTCGATGCGGACTCGACGCGGGTTGAGCAGGATTTGACGCGGATTCGACACGCATTCGACACGGATCCGACGAGTCCAACATGAATTCGACACGGATTCGACGTGGATAGGGCTGCGACGAGACAGATACCCCCCCCCCGAGGATGCAACATATAGTTCGGTGCCCTACTGGAGCGTCGCTTCGAACACAGCGCGGGCAACACGGCTCCGCGAGGTCAGCGGGATCTTTCTGGCTGCCCCCCCGCGGGGGGCGGCCTCGGCCGAGGCCGGATGCACAGAGTCATCACGTGCGCCGCGTTGCTTCCTGAGCGGTCCAGAGCTGCATTCCTCCTTCCCTCCCTCCCTCCTCCTCCTCCTCCTCCTCCTCCTCCTGCTTCTCCTCCTCCTCCTCCTCCTCCTCCGCCACCCCCTGGCGACGGAGCCTCCTTCCTCATTTCTCCTTTCTCCTCCTCCTCCTCCTCCTCGCTCCCCCTTGCTCTCCTTCCTCTTTGCTCCGCTTCCTCCTCCTCTTCCTCCTCCTCCTCCTCCTCCTCATCATCCTTCCTCCTTGCTTTCCTTACTCCTGGCTCGTCCTCCTTTCTCCTCCTGTCTCCTCCTCCTCCTCCTGTCTCCTCCTCCTCCTCCTCCTCCTCTCTCCTCCATCCCCCCCTCCTGTTCTCTTCTTCTCCCCCTCCCCC